TAGGGTTTTGGGGTTCCTTTGAGGGTTCTATAAGGGCTACTATAAGGGTCGAGGGTGCAGGGATCTGAAAAATTAGAATAGGGCTTGTGAGTCTATCATAAGAAACCCCAAATCAGTATTTGTAACTATTATTGTTTAGGCTCCTAGTTAACATAAACACTGTCGGTGAACCTTCAACTCAATCTAGATAGATGACGGACCACGGCCAAAGCGGACACAACGGTATTCAACAAGTCGAGCCTAAGCTGTTGGTGAGGATCCACTCCATCACCCACCACGGGGATGCTCAGGCTCGCGCCGTGTGGTGAGAGAAGGTAGAGGCCTTAATAATTAGAATAAGGTTTTGGGGATAATATACTATAATTATAAATAAGGACCCCCCCCAACCCTATTCTAATCAGTATAAGGCCCCTACATTAGTTATGATATGGGCATCTTTGCCCATTGCCGTAGGGATGTCTACGCTTCGCAGCTTCCATCGTCAACCAGGGTCAACCAGGTGTTGACGGTGCTTGTCACATTCCAGATCATTTGCTGGGAAGGCCGCAACACTCTCTTCCAATCGCTCACAGAATCCGAACGTTGCCCCGGCGATACGTGCAGAGGTTTTGTAAGGAGTCTTCCTTAGGCAAACATGGGCAACGAGACTCCGAAGACAATTCTCGAAGAGTCTGCAGAAGGATAGCAGCTCTGGGGGAAGGTGCGCTTCAAAGCATGCATGCACCTCCGACGCGACAAGCTGCACTTCAACATGTGTATTGCAGCTGGATGGCTAGGCATGTAGGGGTAATTAAACCTTAAGCTTCAGGCTCTGAGCCCTACAACAGAATTTGTAAGATATATGATACATATCATATGTCATACAATACATAATCTGTAACCCTAAACTCTGCTGTGAGCATACTAGCCACCAGCCACCGCTTGGACTGTGCAAGCAGCCTCGCTTGCTGTGTGCTTCCGGCTCTGCCTCCTTTAATGCGGCAAAAAATGCGAATGCGTCTACAGCTCCATACATATAGATATATATATATATGTATATATATATATATCTGTGTGTGCGTGTGTGTAAAAACACTCAGAGAGATAGAGACATAGATGTACAGACAGGCAGACAGACAGATACGGAGATAGGTAGATAGATAGATAGATAGATAGATAGATAGATAGATAAATGAGATAGATAGATAAGCAGACAAACAGATAGATAAATAACAGCTCGATAGTTCGATAGATAGATAGATAGATAGATAGATAGAGAGATAGATAGATAAATAGAGAGATAGACAAATAGATAGATAGACAGAGAGACAGATAGATAGACAGATTGATAGGCCGGAAGGCAGCCAGGCAGGCAGTCAATCACGTGGGCGAATAGGAAATGGATAGATGGATGGGCAGACAAGTAGAAAGATAGGTAGGCTACTGTCTATCTGTTGGTTCAGGGCTGTATTCACTTGTGCTCTTGTTGCCAATATGTATACATGTCGGAAGACATTGCCGCCGGTTAAAGGATCTGACCAGCTGAAAGCCGGCGCGAGGTCACTATAAATTGGAATCAAAACTCCACCTTGAATAGACACGCCAGGCCACAATGCAGGGCTTGTGCTACATTGCCGTCCCGCTTCGGCTCGTTAAGAGGTTACTAACACAAACTAAACACGGCCAAGGGACGCTTCATGCAGAACAACCCCACAGTGAACAACGAGATCCACACAACACTCGCCTCAGAAAATTCGGCCGAAAGGAAAGTTTGGGGTTTAAGGCTTTAGGCTTCTCGTGCGGGTGTCATGGTCGCGGATTGCCGTTCGCAAGATTGTTTGCGAACCGCCAGCATCAGCATACATGTCTCGCGTCAACGGCTGTCTGCCACTTAGGAGCATCAGAAATGAAGGTCCCATAATGCAAATCCGCTAACTACAAACCCCAAACAATTCCTGCAAGGAAGGACCCCCCAATAAGGCACCTCTAGTCTAAGAGTCCCCCCATGTTGTACGACCAAACCTTCGGAGTCTTCCTGAAGTTTTCACTGGCTGCGCGAAACTGCGTATGATAGCCTGGTTCGATTTGCTTAGTGGAGATGGGAAGCAAACTTCCGAATTAAAATGGGTAAATTTTGCACAGCGAGCCCCACACGGCGCAAGGCCGGATGATGCCCACTTGCAAGTACATCGCGGGCAAGGGACCGAAGGTCGTCGGTCCACTTGGCCAGGCAGCCACAGTAGGCAGGTGCGGATGAGCTGGCAACTGTAGGGGGCTTGCGGATACCTTACACTCCTAGCTGGCCCTAGCTACTAAACTAAGTCAACGCTTCTGTGTCAAGATCGGCATCTGCATGTTTGGTGGCTGCCCGGCCTATAAAACGCGCGCTGTCCTAGTCCTACACTCGAGATGCTGCGAGAGAGCTGAGCTGGGCATGCAGAAATCTTGAGCAGTAAACATTTCCCTAATATGTTTAGTTCTTGAGCTCAAAGATCTAAACTAGATTAACATTAAAATGACAGCCCCTTGCCTGCATGATGTATGCACGTATGCACCGACGCATGCATGCATGGGCCTTGTGAGTGCTCAAAGGCAGTAAATACAAACACCTATGGTAGCACCACTGTACATATATGATTCTTGAGCATTTTGCAAGTGTGTGTGTGTATATATATATATATACATGTACAAATATATATATATATATATATGTATGTGTGGTCAGGCGCTCCACGGGCCCACCCCTCCGCCCCCGATGGTCCATGGTCCAGGATGTTCCCCCCACCCCCCCCTGGTGGGGTAAGGTGTGGGGTTCCCCTCGCCCCTGTGGGGTGGTTGTGGGGTTTTGGGGTTGTTTAGGGTTTAGCTTAAGATTTTGAGTTTGGGGTTTAGGGTTCAAAGTGAAAAAAGTGTAAGGCTTGAGGTAAGGCTTCGAGTCGACAATGGCTTAGGGCGGGTTTGGGGTGTAGGTCGGTTAGGGTTGACGGTTTATGTTCTGCTTTAGGCTTAGAGCCTGCATTTAGGCGGATTTTTCGGGGTTGGCTGTAGGGTTTAACTTACAGGCTCAAGTTAATAAACACAGGAGCACGCCCTACGTTATAGGGTTTATGGCTTGCGTAGGGCTTGCATAAGATCCCGGCCCCTCTCTGTGACCCCTGGCCGCCCCGCAGCAGCCCCGACCCCTCGCCTGACCATATATATATATATTTATTTATTTATAAACACATGTGTACATCTATATATGTATGCGTGCATGTGTGTAAGCATGTAAGCATGTATGTATGCATGCGTGTAAGGAAGTAAGTAAATAGTAACTATGTCTGTATGCATGTATGTGTGCAAGTATGCAAGTACGTGTATGCACATGTCCAGAAATCATGTAAGTACTATCTCTCTCTCTCTCTCTCTCTCTCTCTCTCTAATGCGGATATACATGTGCATACCTTACCTGTCATGATCAGGAGAACTACTGCTACAAGAAACTCTTACCCCTTTACTATTACTATTTCACTTGTTGTGCTTGAGACATCCTATGACCGCTACGTAGCACCGGCTTGCTGACATTGTCGCAATGAAGGCATATGTGCATGCTAGATATACATGCACACAAGCAGGCATCATTCATTCATCAAGCCGTCAATGCATCTATCTACTATGTATGTATATATATATGTGTGTGTATGTGTGTGTAAAAATATATGTACATATGTACACATAATTAAGGACAAATAACTCCAAAAACAAACAAAGAATTGAATGTGCATATATATGTATATATATATACATACACATACATTCAGAATTAATTAGAAACATGTGACACAGACATGCGGATCTTGGCCCAGCTCCCTAGCTCTCTGCTAGCCTGGGCATTGCTTCCAGAAGCAGTTCCGTGGCTGCATGCGCTATTCTGCGGCTTCGGATTTTTGGGCAGGCCGGGATGTTCTCAACGTAGCCACACACGCTGGAATGCCTCGTTGCAAGCGTCTAGGGATCGCTTTAGCACGAAGACCGCCGACATGCACTGCTGCAGGAAGTCTGGGAGAGGTCGTGCCAAGGGCTGTCCGTTTGGCTCGTCCATCTGATTGGGACCCATCGCAACGTGCTGCACGGGTGCTGGCGGCTGAATCGGTGTGGGTTGCAACCCTTGATGAAGCCGCTGAGTCAGCTCGACGAGATAACGATTCTCAATCAGTCCTGTTGAAGGCACCTGAAGGTCATCCAATCTGCACGGCACGCTTGCGGAGCGTCGAGGTGCTGGGCCACCGAGGATACGGTCCTCCTGAACATCGATGAAAGTCAACTTGTATCGCAAACTCATCGAAGTGGACCGATGGCGCCTCTGACTCTAAGCACGCTCTACGCTGCTATGCACACAGATCTGGTAAGCAAAAGTTTGAGCCACGTTGGGGTTGGCAATTTGCGAGCAGCGGCAAGTCTTCATGAACAGAATGCATTCCTGTCAGCTCAGCCAGGGTGCTGTTGGTGCAACTATTGCCGACAAAGCTGCTTGCGCTGCTGCTTGTCAGATTTCTTCTCTAAGGCTCCGCGATAGATCCTGCTCAAGGCATCCCCACTTGTTCATGCATGCCCGAGGCACCATTACGTTCCAAATGCAGGCGTAAACGTTTAATTCAATAATGCAATAATATAGTAATTATGGTAATAGTAACAAATGATATTAACAAAAATTGTAAATAACCATAATACTTTTTATATTACAAATGCTATCAATAACATAATAATTTATTAATAACAGAAAAAAGTATCTATAGCAGTAGTAGTCAAAAATCATACTGATAGTATTATTGCTGGCAATACCGACCAAAAAATAGTACCTGCTGTGTTGCCTATAATAGTAACTAAAAAACCGTGACTTTGATCATTCACAAAGGTTCCCCAGGATCTTCTCCACATCGTCCAGCCCGGGCAAGCCGAGGGCTGCAGAGGCACTGGGTCGACTCTCCGGCCCTCAGCGGTTTGGGGCTTTGGGGTTTAGGGGGTTCAGGGTTTGGAGTGTTAGGGCTTGTTATGGTTTTCCAGGGTTTAGGGTTTAGCGGCTTAGGGCTTTTGGGTTTAAGGGGGTTCAGGGTTTGGAGGTTTAATTGTAGTTCCGGCAGTCACAACTAGAACAAACAAAACCTAATGCGGCACACTAATGCGACATCCGCCGGGCCCCTGGCTCTTTTGAAGCAGCCGCATCGCCAGAGTTGCAAGCTGCTGGTCAGCATCGTCGTCCAAGGCGGGCGGCTCCTCCGTTGTGATCTTGTGCACCAAAGAGAGAACCTCATTGCTTCTTCCCGCCCCTGCTATTCAACTGTGATTCTACAAGCTTACTTGCAAGCTACTTACGAATGTCCCTGATCGTGCCAGTGATGCAAGCATGGGCACATTCTGAGCTTCGAAAGGCCGTCTCCTTGGTGAATGAGGGAGATGGAGATGGCAGGGATCGTGTCATGAAGGCCATGGCAACACTGTTTTACATGGCTGATGGACAAAAGCCGACAATGCAGGATGCTGTGCATCAGCAGAACACCCCCCACCCCCAACCCCCCGCAATTAAGGCTCGGTCAGCGCTAGCAGTTCATAGAGAACCACGCCAACGCTCCACATGTCAGATGCAGCAGTACCACCACGGCCATCCCACCATTCCGGAGCCATGTACATGGGGCTACCGACCTTCACTTGCGCAAACAAGATAATAAGTCAGGCAGGCAATTAAACCCCAAGCCCCTACATAAAGCTATAAACCTAATCTCGGCACCTTGAACGTAGCCTTGTAGAACCCTTGTAGCCCTTTATCGCCAAATGAGTACATGCAGCTGGGTAGCAGATGTCATGGCTTTCTGCTGCGACTCAGTGAGCTGCTTGCTCACTCCGAAATCCCCGAGCACGATGTTTCGAGCCTGGGCGGCTGAATTCGGCCCTCATTTGTCTTAAGGCGAGGGCTTCGAGCAGGGGCTTAGGGTTCTACGGCTTTCAGGATGTTGGGTTTTTCGGTGGTTGTAGGGCTTTCTAACAAAAATGGGCATGTGGTGAATGCCAAGGAGCTCCTGTAATGAACATGTTGCTGCCTTTGACGTCTCTGTGCACGATGCGCAGGCTGTGCACGTGCTTCAAGGCCATGCAGAGCTGGGTCACCCAATTCTTTGCTTTGCCCAGTGGCAGTTCCAGCTCATTCCTCGGCTTCAACCCACTTTTCCCTTCTAAACCCTAAACCTAAAACCCTAAACCCTATAAGCCCTAAACCCTAAAGCTTCAGCGCTGGAAGCGTGTTTTAGCATGCAGCTGCCGGCATATTTAGTCCCGAGCGGGTGCTACTTTGCAAGCGAGATTCTCGCGGCAATCGTCAATTTCCTTCTGAACGTCGCCTAGGCTCCCAAAACAGAAGGATCACACGTTTGCAGCACCAGGCCCTCCACGAACAGGAGCCCAGAAACTCCCGATCATGAGATCGTTGCCTCCAGGATAGAACTTCAGAACGATCCAGTAGCTCAGCATGTCCTCACGAACAGCTCGCAACGAGGCGTCTGGCAAATGGCGGAATGGTTTCTAGAAAATGGGTCCTGGGAGGTCCATACCACATCCACCAGCTGCGCCACGCACTCGTGTCGAACTTTTTGCAGGAGAGCTATCTCTTCGAGACCTGTTTTGAAGAAGAGTGGTCAGCCAATGCATCCATGGTGCGAGCTTTCTCAATACAAACACGTAGTTTTCAAACTGTTTTCAAGCCAGGTAGATGCTAACATATTGAGTTTTGCTCGATCTGTTCATCGACCGCGGTTTGTCAGGAAGAGAACAAGAGGAACTCAACGAAGCTGGAAACAAACAAGAAAGTCGCAGGAGCATTTCGCATCGTTAAAACAGGACGCAGAGGCTCTGGCGTACATAGCGATGTGATGTTTTCTTTGCCGAACAAGCAGCAAAAAACGACCGGAATTTTGTGGTTTTTATTTGCCTTGACGGGCGTGGTCAGGCACACGGAAGAGTATAGTCACATGGTGCAAACGGATGATGCAAATCTATGTCTAGCCTAACCCTTGAACTGAAGCAGTTTTGGAATCTTCGAAAAACGTCATTCCGGTCATTCTTAATCTTCACCGCCTTGCTTTTCTCAAGCCTGCAACTTCTTGGCGGAGATCTTCACCATGCCGCACCACCAACAAACAACCAGCAGCCACAGCCCAAACAAGTGCTGTAAGCAGCAAACTTACTGCAGCGAATGGCAGCAATCACAGCCCACACACATGGTGTAGCAGCAAACTTGTTGGAGCGAGAGATGCCTAACGACGTAGTGTAGCTGGCACATCGCATGTGTACAAGTGGCATACCTGGAGGCTTAGGCAAGAGTACAAGTCTGTAACACTTAGACGAGACTAATAGTGCAGTCCGCAAGCGCAACGTGCTCCTAAGCAGAACAGCTGTAGCAAGTGCATTGACAAGTGCCCCAGCTTTTTTTCACCACGGTGACAAAACACGGAACTACCTCCTCCTCCCCACCCCTTCCACCCAACCCCCCAACTGCAAATACCCTGTGGGGATCAACTCTTCCGAAGCCTGAAGTTCGAAATTTCTGGAAATACCGAAGCGAAACGGTCCTGAAACCTAGTGCAAACCGCGTGAAGGGGTCTTTGGAAGGTATACCCATGTAGGGACTATACTGTTACAGGTATTATCACACATTACTCCGACGTCTACAGGAAAAGCCGGAACCCCAAACCCTATGAAACCCGTGAAACCCATGAGTCCCAAACCCTACGACAGACTTAAACAGACCCGATGGTTCTGTCGTGCGCTGAATGGAGAAATCCTTTCGCCCCGAGGGACACATCTTCCGCTGCTTCTCGGCCATCTCCTGAAGCAGAAATCAGGGAAACCAACAGAGACAAGGGCACTTTGGGTTTATAAAGGCTTTTTTTGTTGTGTTCAAAGTATTTTTTGGCGGGTTTTTGTTGATTCCGGGTCTGCATCACGGCATCGAAAGCCTGCGGTGTGGGGGTACGGATTACGGATTCCGTCCACCTGGGGTCAGTCAATCGCATACGGTGCTCAACACCAAACCTGAAGGTCATACTTCCCACCTCTTTGGCTTTACATGGCAATCGCGAAGTCTGCCAATAATCTTTCAAGAAGGCATGCCCTCCTACACCCTAAACCCTAAACCCTCTCCTTCACAGAACATTTCTTCGCCACTAGCCGGCGCCCGTCGCGAAGCCTCCGAACCTCCAGCAGCGGTGAGGTAGAATTCGTTCTTGTGATTGTAGCGATGACTAATTGTGGCAATGAGGGTGATGACGGAATGCTGCTACTCGTGATGCCGTTGACGCCGGCGTGGCTTTTGCTGCTGTTGCTGCTGCTCGTCTACGTCATTCCGAAAACTCCCTTATAGTTCTCATCAGCATCTCAGGTAGGACCCTAAACCCTAACATAAGGGCCTGAATAATTAGATTAGGGTCTCGGGGCATATTACATTATACTGTAGTTATAATCAGGAACCCCTAGGGCCCTGTAGGGAAGAATCTTGGTAATTTAAATGTTTAAAGCCTCCACATGCAACCCTCTATTTCCCTAAGGCTCCAGTTACCTAAATAGTAGGTTACTGGGGTACATAATATATGGTTAGTAACCCACTATTTAGGTAACTGGAGCCCTAGGGTTTTGTGGTCCAAAGGTCGGGGCAACCCCCAGTCTTCGAGCAGTGGTATGACAGCGCAGCGTGTGCAGATCCTGGCTTTACAGCCCTACAGGCGTGCAGAGGCCCCAGTCATTGGGGGCATGACGATATGGGTTAATGGTAATAGTTTTGTAGATTAGTATTAGGGAGAGTATATCTCTAAACCCTATAACCCCCTAAACCCTGAACCCTAAGTATGTCACGAGGTTGGCCCTTTCAACCCTCTGCAAAATTATTCGTAAAATTTCGTAGATAAGATCCCCTCAAGCCCAATAAGAGAAAAGATAAAAAATCCCAAAAGCCTTCCCAGAGGTTTTGGGGTTTAGGGACTTTAGGCCCTAAAGTCCCTAAAGCCTAAACCTCTGGGAAGGCCTTTGGGATATTTTAGGCCCGGAGGATTCGTAGGCACTTGGAGCTTGAGGGCCGAAGGCCGAGTAACCAGGACGGCCGCACCGAAGGCCCCGGAGCCCAGGTGCCGGATCTCTTCCTCGGAGGGTCTAGGGTTTATAGGGGTTTAGGGTTCAGGGCTTTAGGGTTTACGCTCTCACAACTCGGACAAGCCTGCTTTAGGGTTTAGGGGTTTAGGGGTGTTTTTTCCCTCCCACTTAGCAAGGACGAGCCCGCGTTTAGGGGTTTAGGGCTTTAGGGCTTTTTTTCCCCTGTCGCATGGCTGAGGATCTATGCCCACTAGCGAGGTTGAACAGAGAGACATTGAAGCTGGACGGTCTGTGCTACGACAAGCCTAGCCCTAAATTTAAGCCCTGCCAGTGTCGACGGGCTTTTAGGGTTTAGGGGTGTTGGGCTTTAGGGGCCTACGGTTTAGCAACCTTTTTTTGCTGAATGCTGCAAAAACCTGAGAAGTTAGCGACTTTTGATTCAAGCTGTCGTGTGTCGATTCTGACGCTCCCGCAAGGTAGGCAAGGATCACAGCAACGACACTCATCACACCACAAATGCGACAAGTTAGCGACTTTTGATTCAAGCTGTCGTGTGTCGATTCTGACGCTCCCGCAAGGCAGGCAAGGATCACAGCCACGACATTCATCACACCACAAATGCGATAAAATGGCCCATGTGGCAACAACCCCACCCGTACAAAACCTCACCCAGCTTCTCTGCTCGCAGATCATCGCATCCACTGCTCGATTGCTAGCGATACCAAACACTTGAGCCGCGAGCTAACTTGACCCAACCAAAGAAGTACTACAACACAATAACCAACCCTTAATCAACCTCTTGAGCCTCGCCTCAGCAAGTGAACATGCCTGTGCAACCCGTCATGCATCACTGGCCAGCCATCAACTCCTCCTCAGAGACTCTATTCGCCCTTAGACGAACCTAAGAGTTCCGATGGACAACATGGCATGTGAAGCCCTAGTTACTGACCCTAGACCCCAAACAACGCAACAAAAGCCACCCTCAGTACATGACGTCCACCACAAACTTCCATCATCTGCCCTCAGCCCAAGCCCGAGGTGCCACTGCGCCATCTGTAACTTCAGAAGTTCGACGCTTGGGACAATATCTGAGGGTTTTTGGTTGAGGGTTTAATTCCACTTACTATGGCGATTCAAAGTTCCGTAAGGTTTGGGTTGCAAGATTCAGGGATTAGTCGTATAGGTCGTGGTCCAACCACCTGCAAAGCGCCCGATGCACGCTTTTGCTTCGCAAAAAATTCTGCCAGTGATTCCTCGCAGATTGACTGAACAAGCCTTGCATAACTGTAAATCAATGTGAACCCATGAAGAACCATCTCCTCTAGGAGCATATACATATACATACATATATATAGAGAGAGAGACATACATGTATGTACGTATGTACATTTTCGGTTAGAAGTAAAAAACCATACCAGACACCGTTTCTGAGTCCAAGCGACGTAGTATTGCGATGGGTCGAACCTCGCTTGGGAGGCCCGCTCCGGAGCCTGCTTAGGATTTCGACTCTCAGGACTTGCACAAGGCAGGGAAGGCTCCACGGTTAGGGCTTTACGGTTTAGGGGTTCGGCGGCTCGGGGTTTGCGGCTTGACATGCGCAGGGCATAGGGGCATAGTATATTGGCAATTTTGGGCTTTCGGAAGCAGTTTGCAGGACTGCGCTTGAAAGCAAAAGCACGCTCTCGGTTTTTGGCACAACCGTCTCCGGTGCAGAAATAGGTGGCAGAGCCACGCAAAGCAATTCAAGAAACATGCCAGTTTGCTGTTCGACCTCGGGTCTACCGCGTTCTTGCGTAGCGATACTCTATGACTCTATGTATATCCCAGACATGCCCAAACCACAGCACCGACTAACCCCAACCTGAAGGGACCCATCCCAAACCGGCCTGCGATGAAGCAGCGGCGCTCCGTGCAACATGCTGCCTTCAGAAAATGGAAGAAGCCAAGCTCGATGCTAACAGAATCGGTGAAGCCGGTTAAGGGTTTAGGGTTCAGGCTAAGAAAGGTTTAGGGCTTGGGATCTTTTACCGCAAGCTCAACGAGAGCAGCAATTGACAGCTTGTGGGTCACAGGGCAGGTCAACAAATTGCCTGAAACTTAGACAGCCGTGCGGCCTGGACCGGTAACCTCAAAGCCCTCGACAGAAAAATACCAGGCTCCTATTCTGCTTCGGAGTGAACTGGTCAAACTCACTTTTACTGAAGACCCAGAGCGACACCCCTAATGTCAAGAACACCCCTGTCTGCTGTCCAGGATGCTGCCGAGGCTTCCTTCCAGCACGGCCAATCCCCGAAGGAAGGTTCCCAGCGAGGCCGACTTTGCCATGTGGAGCGCTCCCACTCATCGTGGGCAACCATCGTCTTTGGATGGCTGCACGCAAGCTTATGTTTTCGTTAACTCCTCTCACTTGGGAATCGGATGCTTGGCCTAGGGTTTGGGGTTCAAGGGCCTGAAGCCCCAAGATTTTCCTGAAGCGCCTGAGCCCGTGGTGTTGCGGCAAACTATACCCTAAACCTGAAACGCTTGCCATGCGAAGCGGTGCACCTAGGCTCAGGGGTTCAGGCGCTGTGCTGTAGACGACGGCTTTTGCCGGGCTGCCAAAGTTTCTGAGGTCCTTCTGAATGAGTTGGCAGCGGCATGCAAGCTCATTGTTTGTGGCTCAAGGAGCAAAGGCACAGCAGCTCCTCCCAAATCTGATTCTGGTTTTTGCTCCAGAACTTAGAAAGAACATGCAGAAGCTCAGTAAACAGAATGGGTTCGCCTAGGGAGCCAAAATGCAAGATGCTGCATCAGCTTACATTACTAAGTGAAGTTCCTGAACAAGCCCTCGGGATTGCACTTTTTGTCTGCAGGTCGGCTCTCAATTGCAGTTGCCAGCAAGTGCGGCTAATAAGTTTGAAAGTACGCCTCGAACCTATGCGACTGCGGGCTAAAATTCTGGCATCCGTGGTCACAGAATGGCCTGAAGGCATGGCAAGCTCTCATAAGGCCCCGCTGCCTCGCTTTAGAGGGTCATCCTGAGTGCATGTGCTGCCGGGCTGCCGGGATCATAGTCAAACGATTTCGCGCAATCTCCGACAACACGAGGGCTCTGTCGGTTTACTACCAGATCTCCCCAAAGCATGGATGATTCGAAGCGTATCCGGGTTGCCAGCCATTCAGGCTGCTTGCCTGTGCACGGAAGAGCCGGGGGCAGGGTAGTCCTGATTTACGAGTGGGTCGCGCTCGGCCTGAACCCCACGCCCAAAACCTTCTGCAAATCCTTAGCTATGGTCTCCATTGTCGTTCCTTTTTTTGGTTTAACCAAATCTATATTATAACCCCAAAAAGGAACTACAATGGAGATTATGGGTACTCCAAAAGCACACCTCCTCAGCTCCGCCTTGAGCTCCTCCTTTTTGGGTTTCCCTATGGTTTCCCGAAGAGCCCAGGAACACCTTGAATTATGCAAAATCCTGAAATCACAACATTAATCTCGAGGCCTTGGGGTAATAATAAGAAGGGGATTTTGGGGCATGTTATACTATAGCTTTGATAAGGACCACCAAAATCCTATAGGTAACTACTTGGGCCCCTGTACTAAAGCCTTTCATAATGGTAGGCGTATTCCATCTCCAAGGGTTCTTGCGCCTAAGCTGTAAACAGAAAGCTATCCTTATATCACCCCTTCAAGGGACCCTGAAGAACAATCAAAACACAAAAAAGGAAGGCCGTCAATCCCCGTGACCTCTCTGGGCTCTGGAGCCTATTTCTTGGTTTCTTTTTACGGCCCCTGAACCCAAAACACTAAAACCCTGCCCTCTCCTGAACCCTAAACCCCCCTTTCCTAAGCTACACTAAAACTCCTAAGGCCTCCAGGTTGGGTCAGGCCTCCGCCCCCTTTCTTCGCCGATTTCCCTTTCGACGCTCTTCTGGCCTGGTTTTAAGGGGTTTAGGGGTTTAGGGTTTAGGGCTTTAGGGGTTTAGGGATTTAAGGGATTAGGGGTTTAGGGTTTAGGGTTTTAGGGCTTTAGGGGTTTAGGGTTTAGGGTTCAGGGTTTTTGAGGGTTTCGGCACTCACACTCGGACAATCCAGGCGAGGCATGTGGTCTTGAGTCGGCCTTTTGAAACATGGAGAGGGAAAGAGGGTATAGGGTTTAGGGCTTTGGGCTGCGAGTTTTGCAATGACCGGGACGCAGGGCTTGATCTGGGAACCTGATGAAAAAAAACTCGGGGCTTATGATGATCCCCCAACATGTTAGGATCCATACCAAAGGGAGCCCTAGGGAAGACCTAGGGTTCCTTATGCTGGTTCCAGATTAACGGTTTAGGTTGTAGGGTTTAGGGTTTAGGTTTTTGGGTTTCGGGTTTAGAGTTTAGGGTTCAGGGTGATTTCTGCAGGGTTTGGTGGCTTCAGGGTTAGGGACGATTGGGGTGTTGACGCTCGGTGCACGTCTCGGTTCGTGTGTGTCATCCCTAAACCCTATCCCCCCTAAAACCCCTAAAACCCCATAAACCCTAACCCCTAAACTCTAAACCCTAAACCCGATAAGCCCTAAACCCTAAAACAAGGGCCAGCTGATCTTCCCTGCACTGCCACTTTCCTTCAGCTCAGGGTTCTGGGGGTTTGGATGTCACCGCTCCCTCAAAGCCTCGCTCCTAGTGTCGCCTAGATTGGGGAGCTCTCTACACTCGGGTCCCTTTTTGAGTCACCCAAATACTATAGGCACCATTATAAAAAGGACCCTAAACGGGACCTTATTTAGGTTGAGCGCTAGCCATGGGTTTAGGGTTTAGGCCGTGGCCTCGTGAGCCTTCGAGATGACTTCTGTTGTACGGGTGGTGGGAGGGTTTCATAGGTTCTTGGGTCTTTTGATGGGTCCTCTTTCACTAAGGAATACACTTCAAACCAGAATCAAGATCCCCCATATAAATGAGCTATTCACTAGTGCATTCCTGACAATTCCGGCGATGTCTGCTCTTAAAGGAGCCCGTGTAGAGGTTTGTGACCTTGCAAGAACCGAGCAAGCCTTTCGAGACTTCAGCGTCGATTTGAGCTCCTCTGCGTCCATCTTCAGCTCCCTCTGCACGTCCTGGGGGCTGTGTAGTGGATGAGGTCTAGAGTCTAGAGTCCCGCGCTAGTTTCTCCAAAATTCCCTCCCACTGCCTCCCACCTAGACCAAGCCACATTCTACCAACAATGCCGACACCGCACCCGAGAACCGGGTCGGCTGAAGCTTTGCATGTGGTTGCCTTCAGAAGTGGGCTAGCGGCTAGCTGAATGATTGGAGCCGCCCCTAGACCTCCCCACAGGCGCTCCGCGAAGTCTTCGCCCGACTGGATCCGGCTGAACATGGACCTCAACGGAGGTCAAATGCTCAACAAGAAATGGAACACCTGAACAACATGGCAACAACCACGACAAGGACGACGACGACGCAAAACGACAACGCCAACGACAACACCACCACCATCACCATAGCATCAGCATCAGCATTACCATCAATCACCACCACCAACCACCAACCACCATCACCACCACCACCACCACCAACAACAACAACAACAAGAAGAAGCAGAACAAAATCATCACCAACATCATCATTAACAACAAAACTTCTTCTTGCACAACTGACCATGCCTAAGAGGCAAGTACTTTAACATGCAGAGGCGCATGTATGCATGCACACGTTCGTGTGCTCAAGTAATTAGTTATGTATGTGTAGGTATGTATGGATGGATGGATTATTGTACGTATGTATGTACGCAGGTAGGTATGTATGTATCCTTATATGTATGCATGCATGTATGTATGTATGTACGTATGTATGTATGTATCTATGTAGGTATGTAGGTAGGTAGGTCGGTATGTATTTATGTATGTATGTATGTATGTAAGTAGGTAGGTAGGTAGGTAGGTAGGTAGGTAGGTAGGTGGGTGTGGGTGTGTGTGTGTGTCTGTATGAACGTTTTCTGAACTCTCATCTTGGGTCAACAGTGGCAGCGACACGAATTCACAGTGCAGCCAAATACTATGCTCATGCCAGGAACAGCAACTCAAGCCTGTTCTACGTAATGCTTGGGGGACAAAGCGCCGCGCTTGATAGTTCGAAACTCCAACATGAAGTCGAGGATTTCCTGCAAGCTTGCGAATGTCAGGCTTCGCGCTGACGGGAGTGCACGCTGCACCAAAAGCCTGGAATGATTTCGGTAGTGTTAATTGGTGCAGCTAAAGAGTTGACGTCCTATCGCTGTCCTGATCTGTCTTTTTTGCCGCCTCTGCCCAGCGACGAATGGCCTTGCCTCAAGGGAGTTCCTTTTGTGCATATAGTCTATATAGCTGCAGCTAAACAGGCTGAGCCACTGCTGTAATGGCACGGAGCAGGCCGAATCAACCAGTTACGCATAGGCACAGGCGGTTGTCATTGAGATCATTGTCGTCATTATCGTTTTCACCATCACCGTCGTCGTCGTTCTGCTTCAACCGAATCATCATCATCGTCATCACCATAATCATCATCATCACCGCCGCGGCCATGGCCATCTTCATCATGACACTCGTGATCCGATCCTCAGCATCCTCGTCATTGACGGTAGACTCTGACATCTTCTGAGTTCCGCACGCCCAGCTGTCCCGGACTGGAAGAACACGTCTGGATTTGCGCGCTCCTCTACTTGCAGACGTGGTGCTGTTTGTTTCTTGGCTCTAGCACAGCTTGATTTGCAACATGCACGCAGCTTCGGTGTCGACTTCTATACACGGTCCTCCTCGCTCAATGCAGCCACAAGTGCTTCCTGCCACACAGATGACCCAGGCTTATGAGGGCTCCAAATGCAGAGTCGCCTATACATCCGGTAGGGGACCGTTGCTGCAGCTGCCGAATTGCACCAGTACCAGATGTGCTGCTCGTAGCAAGAGAAGCTGCATCACCGTCGCTCGGAGTCGGAATGAGTGGAGGACTCTGGGCTCTTCTGCCTCCGGCCTTGCTAGGACGAAACTGGTAAAGGTTTTGGGTTTAGGTTCAATTTAAGATTCATCCCTTCTTTGAGTCAGGACTTGTGCAACCACCCGAAAGTCTGAGCATACGGAGGTTTAGCTCCCACGACTGCACTTACATCAACCCTAAACCCGAAACCCCAAACCCCTAAGCCCTATAAACCCGAAGATCGATCCTTTTCACCCAGCTGTGACTTCGCGTTCTCGATGTCTTCGTCTGCGCCGGCCTGGTTCTTCAGCCTTGGCTTCCGGAGGCCCGTGGAGAAAAAGGGCCTAAATAGGACCTATTCAGTTCCTTCTAAAGGGATCTATAAGGGTTACTAGAACTAAGGGTTTAGCATCGGGGGCCTTCAAAAATTAGAATAGGGTTTTGGGGTTGGGTGGTTTTAGATTATAACTTCATATGGACAGACTATGAGAGGTGTACTATTGCTATAAATTACTTCGGCCCCTCTATAGTAGCTTTGCCCGACCTGCTCGGCCCTTCCAGCTGCTAACCCTGTGCATGGACTGGTCGTGTCCTGCGAGATGGCCATCCGAAAATAGGGTCCTTGATTTTAAAAGTTAGGGTTTGGTAAACCCTAAACCCTAAACCCCCTACGGGGGTATTTGCTACTAACTACTCCGACTCATAAAAGAATCATACGGGCCAAGCAGGCTGGAGTCTGCTGCGCCCGATACTTTCCAGGATGCGAGTGGAGTGGCGTAGTCTTAAAGCAAGGCCCACGCCCCGCTGCTCTTCCGGCACGGGACTAAGTTCGGCACATGTTGGCCAAAGGCGCGACCTTGAGACAGAGACAAAGAGAGCGCGACATCGGCATCTGTGTGCAGTAGATTTCAGAACAGAGAGGGAGGATAACAAACAAACGGACACATACAACCCTTCAACAAATGCACATATTATATCTACACATATGTATGTTTAAGCACAAGCAAATTGCATCCTTCTAAAACAAATTTAACCCCAAACCACTGCCGGAGTCGTAGAATCATTAACACTGCAATGAACACTAAAGTCCGAAACCGCGAGAACCGGGAGTTGTGAATTGTCGACAAAAAGCAACACCTCAACCCCAAAATCCTCAAACCTCTAAACCCCAACCTCGCAATCCATCAAGAACAACGAAAGGCCGAGTACTTGAGTAAAGAGGGTTCCGAGCCATTGTTAACCTTTACAGCTCACAAGACAATTCTTGCCTGTCGCGATAAAAGAGGTACGTAGATGAGAAGCAACACTTGGCAAGCGAGTCCATCCTACCCCCTAAACACTACATCACAGACATGCAGAATCATTTGTACACGCACACATACATAGATGTGTTTGGAATGTGCCGACACCCATAAAATAGGAGTTAGGATTAGGGGGACCTTTGGGGATATAGACCCTCTCAATAAGGTCCCGTTTAAGAAGAGAGCCACAAGTAGGGCTAAGAAGGGTCCCCTTTAAGGGGTCTCCCTCATACCACCTAGGATAAAATCACATTCCAGGCTTGGGGAGGCTCAGGTGCCCGACGGCATCGCGAACCTCACCCAGTTTGCTGAACCTTGCGGCTCGGAGAGCAAGGAAACCGAACCCCTAAAACCATCTGCAGCTGGGATAAGCCCTAAAGCCCTAAACCCCTAACCCCGAAAACCCCTAAACCCTGAATCACCCAACTTGCTGATCCTTGCAACTTGGAGATCGAAGCTCTGCCGTTGGACCCATCCCAGGCCAAGGCCAGGATTATCGGGTTGCAGGGTTGGGGGATTATGCCCGTGTATCACATACTGATCTCTATGTATGTATGTATGTATGTATGTATGTATGTGTATATGTATGCATGTATGTATATATATGTATATATATATATACATATACATGTATGCGTATGTGTACATGTTCTTTTATGTCTAAGTGTAAGTATACATGTCTTCTATATGTACTATATGTTGTGCAATGTGTCTCTTTCAAAAAATAGACATAAGTATAAATGTAGATGTATACATATAATTCGAATCTGCTATACATTGTGTAAACATAGTGTGCAACTCAAGACGATTCAAGCACAGGAGCTAGGGTTTGAAGGAAATTGGTGTCAGACCCTTGGCCATGTGAGGACAGCTGAGGCGGCAGGCATCTTCATGAGTGTGAGGTAGTCATCCAAAGTGATTTTCCCCTTCTTGCCTCAGCATTTTAGGGTTCAGGGTGTAGGCTCTCACAACTCGGACATGCCAGGCGAGGTTTAGGGTTTAGGGTGGGCAGAGATTTTGACAGCAAGGGGCCCGTCACCGAAGCAACAAGGAGAGAAGTGCTTCAAGCAACAACACGCCCCACGATCATCGACTAACAGCAGGAGTACTAGTAGAGACGTAGCCACAGGAATCTGAGCTATCGGCACTTCTCCATCAATGCCTCGCTCTCTTCCGCAGTCATCCCTGCCATCCAGCTTCTGGTTCGTTTGGCCCAAACCGTCCCCTCCAAACCCGGAAGCCCTAAACCGTAAAGCCCCGAATCATAAAGCCCAAAACTCCCTTCGCCCCTAAACCACCCGAACACTCCCAAAAGTTCTTCAAAGCCCTCTGCGAAGCTGCCGTGACCGGGGCGCCTGAGGCAGCTTGCACGGCCTTGTCCGTCAGTGAGCTCTGAAGATCCTCGGCAAAAAAAAGGGGCCTTAATAACTAGAATAGGGTTTGGGGGTATAATATACTATAACTATAATACTATGTGTTGCTAGAACTATAATATAGGGGCCTTAATAATAAGAAAGCATTGGAGTTTTGGGGGGGTTCCTTTGAGGGTTCTATAAGGGCTACTATAAGGGCTTGGGGTTTGGGGGGCCTTAATACTTAGATAGGGTTTGGGGGTATAATGTACTATAATCTTCATAAGGAGCCCCTCAAACTCTATTCTAATTATTAAGGCCCCTACAGTAACCCCCGAGGAGACGCAGTCGTTCGGGGTTTAGGGCTTCGGGTTTAGGTTTAGGGTGCACATGAACCCTGACCTAATTCTATGTTCCGACTCACACACTCGTATAGGGTTTTGGCTATATGTTGTGCCCCCGCATGGCTGAGCATAGTCGCACCAGGGCGAGGTGGCTGCAGCTGACACTTCTCCACTGAGCGCATGACATCGAAAATACCACGACACATCGTTCTCGCAGGTCGCAGACCTCCAATGGAATGCCAATGAGCTGATGCACTCCCAACACAGATCGGCTGGGCAACTGACATAAGGTGTCAAATGCGAAGGCATGCGAGTACTTTTGGAGAACCCTTACAGACCCCTTTCAAAGGAGCCCGGTACTCTCACTCACACACCCTGATCACACTCTGACTCTGACATGCCAACTTGATCCCGGCGGCTCGACAAGCCGGGCCTACCAGTGCAAGCTTTGATGAAGCTCTGCCACCACCAGCGCCTTCGGAGCGGAAGTCACCGCAGGAAAGCGATCAAAGCATGCACGGGGTATAGTATTAGTAGTGATCACAAGCCCTTCCGGCAATGCGCTAAGACGGGTCACGAATCCCTCCCGCTGCATTGCAAGTTTCAAACCAGTCCCGATGTCGACATGCTTTTTTGATCTTTTTGGGCTTACCATGGTCTCCTCCTAGCTCGGTGACGATCGTCGCTGACATCTGTTCCTAACGACCGTCAAGATGTATGCATGTATACTTGTATGTGTGTGTGTGTATATATATATATATGCATATATATATATACACACACACACGTGCACATGCTTCTATACATATGTCCATATATGCGCTGCCTCTGCACCTTCGCCGCACAACTATACGGCTGCCAAAGATGGTTTGATGTCTCCGCGCTGCTGGGCTCAACAGGGTTTTGTCGCTCACACTCGGACGAATCCAGGTGAGGCCTGCAAAGAAACAGGCGTGGCGTATGACTCTATGTCAGCTCTTTGAACCCGCACTGTCGGAAGGTCGGTTCCCCCTAACCACTCAGCTGTCATGTAAAGCTAGAGACAAGGCACCGGCAAGTATCACCCTATGGCCCAAAAGGCTTAATGGCAGCAGTCCAGTTCGAGAGACAAACGAACTTACACCCAAAAGAAACCCACTCCATAGTTGGTCCAAGAGCGAGGGAGTTGAAACACAGTTCTGTCGCCACGCAGTGCGACTTCTCAACAATACGACTTCACGAGAGAGTAGACATGTCATGCAGTGATGTTGGCATCAGTCAGCCCTTCCAGCACAGGCAGAGCAACAGTAGTACATGCAGAGCCGTCTACCGCAACCATATCTCCTTGCCACTCACCACCAGGCTCAAATTAGCTGGCAGCATCCAGGATGTTTGCAACCATTGTCAAACGCATGCTTCCTAATCCCTTGTCGTCCTGATGGCATTGTGCGGATGTGCGACCGCCAACAGACCTCACATCGGCTGCCTGCAAAGGCACGGCTCGTAGCTCCTTCGTGAGCATGGCAAAGCAGCTGTGAAGCCTCGCCACCAGCAGAACAACACCGACAGGCTCCATCTAAGCTGCAAGCATGTCGTGACAGATTCACAGAAGGCTTACGAATACAAGCTGATCTTTTATTATCTCGTCTCGGTTGTCCAGCGAGAGCCCTGATTGAGGCTACGGCCACTGCAATCGCAGCGGCAAGGGCGCACACCTCGGGCTGTGTGCACTCCTGCGAAGGAATTGGAGCAGCCACTTAGATATATGTCAATGTGGCGATGTGGCTTGGGTCCCTGCGCACAAGCGACCGCTTCCCCGTTGGAGCTTTCGCGGCGACTGCGCGAACGTCCTGCGTATCTCTGTAGTGTGACAACCGACTAGGAAACTGCACGCCGACATCAGTTCAATGACCATGCCTCATGGCACCTTGCTGCAAACCTCTCTCCATAAATAAAACGTGGAAAAGGTGAGAGCGGGTGTAGGAACGGAAGTTGCTTCTGCGTGCTCGATGGTGGCTGGTGTGTTCTGTGAAACAATTATGATACTGCTTTGATGCATGAGAAACGTCCATGTTCTTGAACCGAAACATCACTTCAAGACTGCGGCTGCCTTACCAACCCTGCCGTCTTTCTTTCTAGCTGTCCGGTTTTGTGCGTTCGGCTGTGCAGGCATCGAGAGGTCCAAAGCCTAGACTCGTCAAGGAAATCAGGTGCAGAAGCTCGTGCTCGCTTTGGGGCTTTAGGCTGCTGGCATATTTCACACGGCTGGTCATGGTAGACGCATGGAAATAGGAGGCATAATTTCGGTTTAAGTAGACGCGGGTCGCATGCTGTTGTCTTGCATACCTTGTCGGTTCAGCCTTAAGCCAAAAGCAAAATGTGTATGTGTGTGTGATTGCTGGACTATGCAGATAACCCTAAAACCTAAACCCCCAAACCCTAAACCCCAAAGCCTAAATCGTAGAAGTCAACAGCAACAGCATCGTGGGGTCGGAATTCCCTTGCTTCAGATTCCCGTTCACATCCTTTCCTGTGCTTTTTGTGCTGCAAGTCTGGCCATCTCCCTCATTCGGAGATGCTAAGAGCTACGGGCGTTCGTTAACGGGATGCGGTTTCCTCGGTGAAGCTTTCGCACCAGGAAACTCGCCAAGAGGGCCCCCTGAAACTCAGAGGACCCGCATCGAGGACAGGCTCGTGAGGCGCTGCGGATGCCTCGGAACATTAGCCGCAGTACTCGCAGGAGCAGTACAGTAGCATCAATAGGTGGCGGTGGTGGTAGTAGTAGTAGTAGTAGGAGGAGGAGGAGGAGGAGTATGAGCAGGAGCAGGAGTAGTAGTAGTAGTAGTAGTAGTAGTCATACTATAATTATTATTATCACTATTATAATTTTATTATAACTTTATTATCATTATTATTGTTAATATTATTCGTAGTAGTAGTCGCAGTAGTGGTAGTAGGTAGTAGGTGGTAGTAGTTGGTGATAGTTGTAGTAGTCGTCGTCGTGGTGGTAGTGGTAGCAGCAAGAGTTTCACAGAGCTTGGCTTACGAGCTGCACCAAGAGCGTTGGTCGTGGTATGTCTAGGGTGGGAGGCCCATCTAAAGAATGACAAATGCCAGCAACTGGGACCTCCGAGTAGAAAAGCATATGTTATAGCAAAGGGTGATACTAAATACCAACAATTTCATAGATAATGTAAGATAACATTCTGCAAACTATCATCAGCGACTTCTAAGCGCTATAAGCACTCACCAAATAAGCCTAAAGCCGTACTTCCTCAGCTCTACACCAAAAAAGTGCTGTTTAGTTTGAACCACAAAACCCGAGAACATACCTTTAAACATACACATCCTCAACCCTAAACCTTACACAAGCACCATCTCTCCCGTGGACTCACTTGCCAGCATCAGAGACCACAGTGGCTTTTGCCCTGCCACCCTAAAAACTCCTTAACCCTCATTGACTCAAACTCAGGCCACCAACCACGAGCCCTAAATCCTGGATTCGAAATCCCGGATAGTACCGCAGCCCTAAACCCACACTTTGCCACGAGGCTCTGGCTTCAAGCTGTGCTGCAACTCTGCAGATTCCTCAATCTGAGGGTGTAAGGTTTCGGCGCGAGGGTTTACGAACCGAAGAGCTTGGATTCAAGTTGGAAAAAAAGGCTCTGGAAGGGGAGACAGGAGGGGTTTGTCACGTGTTTAGGTGTTCAAGAGGGTCGAAGTACAGGCCTTGGTAGATAGACTTGCGGGCACAACCTGCGCGCACGCTTACATTGCGCTCTCCCTGCTTATGGGTATGTGTGTAATGTGCTTGCCCCATATGTTGTCTACAACAGTTCACAGAACCATCTTATTGTCTACGTGTACATCCTTAACGACGGAAGGAAGCGGTGACCACGAAGTTTTCAGAATTTCTTTCTCGAGATGTATAGCGACAAAAAGCTTCAAATCAGGGCATCTTGTGTTCTTGTGAAGAATCGAATCTTCCGGAGACTTTATACACGTGGGCACTGTGAACCAGTGCGAAAACTCATTTCTAGCAGTCTTTCACTCGACAGATCTCGACATCGGTTCACTTTAGATCTCGCCCAGTGCAGCAGCACATAAGTCGAGGACTTCTCCGAACCAACGCGTCATGAACTCGATTTGGATTGTAATTGTAGCGGTGGTACTATGGGGTCCCTCGGAAAAAAGCCACTGAGGTAGGAGGACAGTTCGGTCTCCGAGAAGAGGCGAAAACGGCTGTTGCGTTGAGAAGCCGTGAGGCCTTCGTTAACGATGGATGCTTCAGGCGAGTCGCAGTGGACTAGCTGAAAGGCAAAGTTAGTTTAAACAGAAAAGGATCAACTCAAAGGAACTGAGGAAGATGGTTCGTGTTGGGTGTGTATTCTATCTATTCTACATGCCTGGCATGCACACTGGAACTCATCAAAGGATTGGTCGATGCCTGATTGCACTTGGGAGCTGGCGGAGGATTGGCGATAGTGCGTAAAACAAAAAATAATGGTAATTACCGTAGCATAATGAAAATGATGACCAGAATGATAATGACTGTGAAATCATGTGGGAACACGCGCTTTTCCCGGCACTGCCGGTGCTCACGATTGCATGCCGACGTGGGGCAGTCTGCCAAATCCGAAGTCTTCCGTCCTTGCAGCCGTGTACGGCAAGACCACACATTTTCAGCAAGCCAAATCAAGCAACAGCTCCTCGCCGGCAGTTGCCAGTGAAGGGCCCATCAGCACCACTGCCGCAACACTGCATGGGTGCTGGTACCTCGGCAGAGTCGCTATGGGGACTTCAACATTAATAGGAATTTTATTATGAGGGACTACGGGAAAAGTCGGATCCCGAACCCCGATCTTCTCAGAATGAGTAAGTGCCACACTCGCGGAGCTTCTCTTTGCTATGGAGATTCCACAGGATAACTCGCTGGTCATCACTTGCAGACCTCTGTAGACCGGATCTTCCAAACTCGTCAAAAACCGGTAATTAGACTCAGCAGACTTCCACACAGCCCATGTCTCGGCTGTCTGGGTGCTTGGCAGTAGCCGCTCGGGGAAGCTGCTGCAAAGTGCAACTGCGCGGACCTCACAAGCGTATCGAATGCTGGCCACCTGCAAGTCCTGTAAGTCTACATAATGTAGGGGCCTTCACGATGAGAAGAGGGTTTGGATGCAACAAGGAACCCCCCCCCCAAAAAAAAAAAAAGAAAAAAAGTATTGGTAGTTATTTAGGCCCCTTCTAGTACCTTCTAGTACTAGGCACATGCAAGGATCCTGAGAGTCCGGCAAAGTCTGTATGGCTCACGATGCGGCTGCTGCACTCCGCCTGTGCGGGGGCTTCAGGCAGCGTGTCTTCCGTACAGAGCACTGAAGCATATTCGTCCTGCCCGCGCTTGTTTGCAATCGCCTGGGCAGCAGAAGTGCATCTGCTCTGAACTGTGGCAGAGCCAATATACGGTGTTTAATTCTCGGTCCACTGCTCTGCCAATCAAAAACACGGTGACATGTTTGCATGAGCCAAAGGGCGTCTCGCCGCCAAATGCAAATGCTGCGATCATCGCCGCCTGAGTCGACGTGGAGGTCGCGGCGGCTGCTCAAGATTAAAGATGCTACCACTTCGCATACCTACGATTCCAATATTGACGTGCTTTTTGATATGCCTGGCATCCCTATCACTATCCGTATATTGCTTGTTCTGTACAGTGGCTCGCGCCAAACATCCTTTGGCAACAGTCCACACATGTATATGTGTTCTTTCCAGGTGGCTGCGCAGGAAGGTAAAAGTTTCTGGAACAGCAAAAGTTTCTGGCGCCACACAATCACAGAAGGCCACAGAGCAAAATGGGTTTGAATTAGGGCTTCTGCAGCATGGACTTAGGGGGTTAGAGGTGCAGGGCACCTGAAAATTGGACACCCGACTCACCCGACCCCGAACGAAAAGCACAAAGTTACAGCTAGACTAGACTTCAAAGCTACATTGACATACGGCGAGGCACCACTGGCCAGGTAGATCGCATTCTCTGCAAGGCAGCGGACCATGGACGAATGCCTTCAGGGCTCAACGGTTTGTTACATACAGTTCGTAAAAAACCGCGACAAGTTGCCCGCTGAATATGTGGGTCTATCTATCTATTTATCTATCTAACTAACTAACTAACTCTATATATATATACATACATACATACATACATACACGACACAGTGCAAGCTTGCAGCCGCCAGGCACTGACCTGCAACCTTAAAAGCCACATATCCTGGGTCTGCAGCCCACAAAGCGTGAGCTCCAGCTCACCGTCGGGTAACGACCTCCGCATCACATTCGCATGGTATGGTCTGTCATAAACCAGAGCAGCTGGAAGCTCGGAGATCGAGAAGAGTGGAGTGTAAGTGTGTAGCCGTAGCCCAGTCTAGGTTTCCTTACGAGAATGCACCGTGCTCTTCAGGAGGCAGAAGGGAAGCCAATTTTGAGACTCAGACTCGGTCACACTAGGCAAGGATAGAAGTGAGACACGGTCAACTTCCGCCGTTCCCCGTGGATCCTTCAGCTCAGTCGTTTCGAAAGGTAAACTATCCCAATTGAAAGAATGCCCTGACCACAAGATCTAACAAGAATCCACGCAAACCACGAACGAAGACCACAACTCAGCCCGCTCACCCGCAGGAGCTCACTGGAACTTGAAGGCTTTCGTGACCGTGGAGCTCTCGGCAGCGGTGGGCTGCTGCGTAGTAGGAGCTGCAGCCACCGGAGAGGCTGCTTTGCCGCCTTTGGCCTTGCTCTTCCCACCTTTGCCTTTGGCACCTCCACTTCTCTGGTGGCCCTTTCCGGAAGAAGGCTGGTAGCCTCCTTTGCCGTAGGATTGGTAGTACCAGTCTCCTCCATCGTAGGCGTAGTGGGGCCAGGCCCACCAGTCACGTGCAGGGTAGTCCCAGAAGCCGTCCCACCAATCTGCTCGATTCTTTTTCTTCTTGCACTTCTCCTTCGGATCCTCTTTGTTCAGCTCATCCTCCACATCCGAGAAGGTGCGGACAGCCCCAACCACAACCGGTGCCATCGGCGGCGTGGCCGGAGCAAAGGTCGGCGGCGAAGACGGTGGGCTCGGGGCCTGGGAAGTCGTAGCAGGCACAAGGGGAGGCGGTGGTGGAGGAATCATGGTCTCGTCTGGTGGGGGTGTGGCAGGTGGTGGAGGCACGACCCACCCAGCCGGTGCAGCACCTGGCGTGGGCACTGGCATAGGCACAGACACGAGTGGTGCCGGAAGGACGGGCGGTGCTGGAAGGAACGCCATGTGCTTCAACAAGTACCGCTTCCCGCAGTACTCAAATATGCGTGGAGCCGGAAGTGGGTCCCGGATGTGCTGTGGGTTCTGCAATCGGTTGCGCAGCGTGCTGGCAAGGTCCGGGACCTGGAGGCCAGTCATATTGCAAATGTGGGCGGCCAAGGCATCTGCCACATATGGAGCATGGCGAAGCACCTCGAGGAGCGTATGGCAGTCGTCTAATGCATGATGTGCCTTGAATGTTCGGTTCGT